CGACAGAGACAGACCGCTCCGACCCCCATCCGAATCCGGACTCGGTGGAGAATTCGGCGCCAGCCCCATGTTCACCGTCATGCCGCCCCCCATCGCCCCGCCCAGCCCCATCGCCAGTCCCCCGGCCGTCATCCCCCCTCCCATGCCTGGCCCCATGTTTGCCCCCATCGCTCCACCCATCCCCAGGCCCGCCATCCCCACCATCGGACCAGCCCCGTTCCCCATCCTCTTCGCCGCCACGTTCACGTAAAGCCGCCTCCGCCGCTGCCTGCTGCTGCTGTTGCAGCATGTGCTGCCGCTGGTGCAGCTGTTGCTGGGCGATGCTCCGCAGCCAGTCAGCCTGCTCTCACAACCACGCAATGCCACTCATCACAACCCACAATCCTCACACCCCCACCTCCACCATGCTGTCCCCAAACACCCTAACCCCCACACGCGTCCCCAATTACACTCCACGCTCAACATACACCTCTACACTTCCTCACCACCATCCCATCGCATCTTTCCACCTTTACCCACCACCTCATCCTTCCCACTCTATCACCACCCTCCACACCGCTCTACCACCTCCACCCCTCTACCACAACGCCCATGCGCTTCTCACACTCCTCTTCCACACCCCCGCTACCCCCACTATCCTCACCCGCACCCTCATCCCTTACCTGCTGCTGCTGCTGTTGTTGCGTCGCAGCCGCGTGGTTCTTGTTGTACTCGTCTATCTGCATTGCTTCTATGGTCGCCTGGCTCGTCATCGCGTTAGCAGGCGACAGCGACAGCGTCGGTACGATCTCGCCACCCCGCTCTCCGTGCGCACCTCTCGCTTTCTCCTGGTTCCCCAGCGCCCCCACAAACGCCCCGAATCCTTGCGTCGATACCTCCGACTCCTCCCTCATCACCCCCGCCTTCACCAGAAAGTCCTCCAGAGTCATCTCCCCGAACGTCTGCGTCCTCTCCTGCTCCGACGCCCCTGCGGCCGGCTCCCCGCTGCCCTCCGAATTCCCCGACGACCCCCGATGTATGTCCTTCCATACCTCGTCCACCGTCTTCCTGCTCAGCGTTCGCGGCAACGTGATCGATCCTTGCCTCTGCAAGCTCGATTGCCGAGATAGCATTCCCCCGCCACCTTGTCCTGCATCGCCCACGGATCCCATCGCCGCCGCCATCGCCTGACTCTCTTCTGCCGTCCATATGTTCTTCAAAAATTCGTCCATGTTCATGGACCCGAAGTTCTTCCCCGGCTCCGACAGCGCATTCTGGAACTCATCCAGCGTCAGCGAGTATATCGACGATTGCCGCGCCAGTGAATTGAACCGGCTTCCCAAACCCGCCAGGCTCGACCCCGCCAGTCCATTGCTCGCGCTCGACGCACTCGCCCCGTTCGACGCCCCTCCCCCTGCTCCTGCTCCTGCTCCTGCTCCTCCACCCCGACCTTGCGTTCGCGGACTCAGCGCCCGCGACGCCATGCCTCCGTCCTCCGCCCAAACACCCGGCTTCTCGCCCTCCGACGCTGCTACCCTTCGGGCAGCACGGTTTCGGGCCCGGCTGCGGGCGTCTGGGCCTGCCAGTGCTCCTGCTCTCTCTTACCACAAAAACTTCCCTCTCGAACACCACCAGTCCGCCGCACCACGCTCCCTCACGCACGTTACTCTAGGTGCCAACGCCTCGTCTGCTCTCGCCTGCGCGAATCCTGCCCGCCACACTCCAGCTGCACACCCTCTGTGCATGTACCACGCTCCGGATTCTCTGGGCTCCCGTAACCCCGAAGTCGCGAACACATCAAAAATCCACCCCACGATCCCTCGATCCTTCTACGCACCGCAGCACATCGCCATGACTTCAATTCCACCCCCACGTCTTCGTCTGTACGCCACACACAAACACTCAGTCCGCCATTCAACCACCTCCATGTTTCTCAACCTGCATCCGCTCACTCACGAAGGCAACTGCATAGCTTCACACTTCGAACACGCATGCACGCCAAACTACAGGTCTTCTCCACACGCTTCACACACCTCCATTCAAGCACCTCGTCGCAGTTCTATCTGACCCCATAGATCCTAATACAACCAACCCACTGTGGACTCCAATCCCGTGCGACATGTTCATCCGTCCTTCCAAACAACACCCTACCTTTCTCACTCGCACCCATCCCATCCACACCGTTAACTCGCACCACCTCTATAGCCACTCCACTGCAGCCGTCGCCCACTCTGGTGCACCACGGCGCACTGAAATTATTTCCTACGCTGTCCACCGCATACCCACATCCACTCTACTATCATGTTTCCGCTACATGTCGCACAGGTCCTCTTCACCACACGACTAGGCTCCTCCTCTTCCCACACACTTCCTGCCGCCACCCATACCCGCCGCTAATCACCGGCTCCCCTAACCTCGTTGCTGCACCGCTCAATCCTTGCATGCTAAGACATTCCCGCACCATCACTCGCACTACGACTCACAACGCCGACATCCACCATCAAATCTCACATGCCCGGAACTGAAACTGCCCATGCCTAGCCTCCCCACCGCCACAGATTCACCACGCCACTGCTATCTACACCCAGCATTTCACCCTCGCACCCTCCCCGACGCTCTATCACAACTCTCGCCATCCACACACGGCACGCACTCGCTCAAAGTACCAAACCCTACACCGAAATACCAACTCCTCCCACCTACATCACACCACCACCCTACCAATCTAGCCCCCCTTCCCACATCCAATTTCTGGTCCCAAACATCAAGAAGTTGCCAATGCACCACACCCTGCCTCTCATCCACCCCAAACCTCCCTGCCACGACCACCCCCACTTCGCTAACGAACACCTGCATGAAACTTGCCTCACCCCAACCCCAAACTTAATGCCCCCAAACGACTCCACAGCTCACCCTGCGGTAAACCACGGTGGGATGCAGTCCCAACTACATCACTCTTTTCCACTCATCGCCACAACCAGGCGCTCTCTCTCTCTCTCTCTCTCTCTCTCTCTCTCTCTCTCCTCGCCATCCCCTCCTCCTCACCACTCACTCCTCATCCTCATCCCGCCCCTACTCCAACGCACGAGCAACTCCATTACTCCCAAGAACCACCGCCGATCGGCATCGCCGACCCCGGCGGATGCCTCAAACCATCGCACAAACTCAGTAACGGCAAACGAAAGGGAGGGAAGGACAGGGGCACGACGCGGCGGGATGACCCGTCCGAAAACAAGCCTTGCCGACCAGGTGGAAACAAACCAGAGCAAGAAAGCCACGTGCATGGCATAGAAACTCACCTACGCGGCAACGAAACAGCATGTAAGAGCAGCAGCGGGGTCGGGAAGGTGACAAGCGGCAAAGCAGCGATGCTGGCTGGCACTACACGAGTTGGATAGAGAAGCCCAACTCTCGGCTTCACCCTCGCTCTCGGGAACGATGCCCTTTTCTGCAGTTCTACTAGTCTACTCACTCCAGTGATGTGCTGTGTTGCGCTGTTTGTGTTCAAGCCCTGCCCGCGTGCCTGCGTGCCTGCGTGCTTCAACCGATGCGCTTGCTTGCGTGTACAAGCTAGAGTGGAGCAGGGTGATGCAGTGGGAAGGAAGGTCCACGAAATTGGGTGCCACAGAGAGAGTTTGAGAGAACGTCCTTGAGACAGAAATGCGCTGGACTTCCACTACAACGACGAGATGCTGCTCCTCACTGGAACCTCACGAAAGCAGGCGGCACGGCGCTGCGCTATAACACAGGTACGCAGCGAGAGAAGGACACTTGGTGGGTGAGAGGAAAGGGAGGAAGGAAGCACGATGCAGTTAGTAAGTGTGGGTCTAGAGTGCAAACAAGGAAATGGGGGCGTCATGGTCCCCCCCCTTTCTCGCATGCTCTAGTAACCAGACGAGAATGGGTCCTCGGAATTGGACCCTAAAATTGCGCATTTGATTCCTGCCTTGCTAGGTGTCACTGCATTGAACTGCCACGCTCTCCCTGCCTTTTCGTTCCCTTCTGCTTCTTTCTCGTTCTCGTGTCTTTTCCCTCCCCCCACCTCTCATTAAAGTGCCCTCCTGTTCCCTGGCTGCCGCTTTCTTGTTCGCAAGTCGCTCCTCTACATGCATGCTTAGATGTGATTTCTGGTTGCAGTATTCGGTGCTGGTGAAGCCACATTAGTGTCTAAGATTCTAGTGGCAAACTTTCTCACACTCTTCACATTTCTGAGGTAGAAAACAGTCTATCAGTGAGTTGTAATAACATTCTTCTAATATTATCTAATTACAGTATTTGTGAATATGTCGTTGTCTATGAATCTGTAAGTTGTATGGCAATTTTACCTGTTTTGCCAATAAAAGTGAAGTCTTGTCTTTTAGGTGCAATGTTGAAAAGCTTTGTGCAAGCTATTGAATACTTTCGTATGGTCTTTTTAAAGTGTGTGATATATAGAACAATAATTTGGTATTAGAAAGAATCATTTCAGGTATTTTTTACAATTTTTTTTTCTTTCTATATTGGTGTCATTATAAATGCCTTCTAATATAACTTCAAAGTCATCAATGATTTGTTTTATTATTAATAATATTCTATATAATATAGTTTTACTACAAAAACATGATTTAAGAATGAAATATCCAATTTCAGTCATATCATGGTTTGACATAAAATTACTTATTTTAATAAAAAAAAAATTAAACTTTAAGTTCACTTTTAAAAGAATTTATGTTAAAGTATTGAATCTCGATGTTTCTGTTCTATATCTGATTATTATTTTTATTATATAATGATAAAATATTACACAATTAAAAGTCATCAATATAAATTAATAGAATTTGTATCATATACAACATACAATCTTTTGAATATTTCTAATGATAATACAAATATAATAGAATTTTTCCTTTAAATAAATACAACTGAAATACTTAGCATCTAAAAATATGTCAAATATATCACTAATCTACAGATAAAAATTAACGATTAATTTGTAAGGATATATTTTTTTAACTTCTTTTTAGTTCAATTTTTTATCTTATCATTATTACTATTTTAAAAATGACTAATATTCTAATAAGAATTTTTTTTGATTTTATGTGTTTTTACTCTATTTTATCATTATATTAAACATTGATTTTCAAAATATTTATTTATTTTTATCAATATGAAGTTTTTTAAGAGTCCACATATTGGATAGTTAGATGAGCATATATAGAACGAAAAAAAATATAGATTGAAATAATGAAGCCTTCATTAATCAATTTAAATATGGATTAAAAGATGATGTTAAAGATTTATTGTTGACAATGCCAAAAGCAAACTTATTAGAACAATTTATTGCTCAAGTCATTGCATGTAACAATTAACTTTTTAAAAGAGACCAAAAACAAAGATTTAATTGGAGAGATATAAGTCAATGCATAGCAATAATTCATAAGTTTTCAAAAATTTAATCATCAAGGGCGAAACCAATACAAATTGATATGATATGTTTTAAACCTCTCAATAAGCAAAAAAAGACTCAACATTGTTAAGAAGAATTATGCTTTTAAAATAGAAAATCTAAACATATTATTCAACATTGTTCAAAAAAATAATGCAATCACAAAATGAGAGGCATGGTTATTAAAGAGGACATTGTATCAAAAAACAAGTTGTCCAATTATAATAAAGGTTGTGTGGATAAAATATGTACAATACCTAATAAAAATCCTGCTTTCTCTTCAAAACCTTCACCTTACATTATAATAGATGTTTATTTAGGATCCAAAAATCACAAAGTCTTTATTTTGTTAGATTCAAGTACCTCAGCTTATTTTATAGATAAATACTTTATTAGAAAAAAAAAATATATATCCTTAGTCAAGAAAACTAAGCTTACATATGTATAAGCCAAAGATGGTTGTTTGTTGTCTTTTTGAGCTATAATCCTTAATTTTGTTTTTTTAAAATGTAGCAACTAATGGTCATAATAGCTTAATAATATTTAATATTACTAGAAATTTTTTTAATTCAATTATTTAAGATTTATTGTGACTAATGAAGTATAACCTTCAAATAAATTATATTTTTTATAATCTTGATTTTTCTTATACTCTAATCCAGATCATTATAAAAAATTATTAGTCTAGTACAATCAAATATTTATTGGTAGATACAAGAGCTTTTATTTATATAGCAAAAGAAATGTCATTTTTTGATATTTATACCATATCCATTTTTGAAAGTAAAAAGACTTCAAGTGATATTCTAAGCTGGTACTAAGATTATCAAGATATTTTTTTAAAAAAAAATGCAGATATTTTTCTTAAATATTTTTTTTATGATTATTCAATTAATCTTCAAGAAGAAATTTAACCATCATTTGGAGCAATCTATAACTTATTAAAAAATAAATTGATTGTATTTAAGAAATATATTGAAAAGAATCTAATTAAAAAAATTATATACTATTTTAAATTTCCAATTAAAACTCTTATTTTTTTTTGAGAAGAAAAAAGACGGATTATTATAGATGTATATAGATTATTAAAGATTCAACAAGATCACTATTAAAAATAATTATCTTTTGATGCCTTTCATGAAATTCAGAGTTAGAAAAAAAGATGATGTTATAAACACCCAACAAAAATATTTTAATAATAATCTTTAAATACTTTATTAAGTTCTAAAAGATTTTTAAAATATTTTAATAGAATATTTTAAAAATATTATTAAAATATTCTAAAATATTCTAAAGTTTTCTTTAAATATTCCAACAAATTCTAGAAAGTCCTAAGAGAATTATGGAAATTGTCCAAAAAGCTTCTTAAAGTTACTTCGTCTTCAAGCAACATACAAATTTTTTGAAAGCCTTCTTGTACCTAGTATATATTGGATTTGAGGCTAAGAAAATCCTAGATCTCAACAACATATCTCTTAGAGTTCTAACTCACTTCTTTTGATGTTAATCTTGTATCCATCTCATTTAATCAACTTCTTGCTAATTTCTTTGTTGAAACTCTTTTGATCAACTTCTTGTTTGATCTTTTGTGTAGTGTATCTATAATAGTATGTCGAAACTACTTTCTTATCAATATTAAAGCTTGATTCTTCTTGATCCTTCTTCATAGAGAATAAATCATCCTTCTTTTTGAAAGCATTTGAGAGCTTTAAAGACTACAGATTATCCTCTTCTAAATTTATATTATTTAGAAATTCTTTTTTTTCTTTCAAGATGGTTTGAGGTGAAGATGTTAGTATACTTGAGGCTTTTGAGTCCAAGTTAGATGTTAATAAGAATATGTTGAATGCTTTGTCTAATTGAATTATTGAAATTGAATTTTTTTTTTGTAAGATTTTACGGTGATGTAAGACCTAGAATAGTTCAACTTATGATGCAACCACTTTCTTAAGTTTCTAAATCCAAGGAGGTAGTAGCATCTTGTCATGAACATATATTTACTATAATTGTTATATAAGTGATATGAATAGATAGAAGTAAGTAAAAATAGATTAATTTTATAATATCTTCTAGAAAAGCTTCTTAAAAGCTTCATAGACATTGCTTTGACTTTACATATGTTTATACTTAATTGATAGGTTAAAAATTTGGTCAGCAAGTTAACCATGTGCTATCCTTATTGATAGCTTGCAAAACAAGCTAATTATGTAGCATCCACATAGAAAACTTGCTTGGCAAGTTAAGATACATGTTGTGCAAAGTCAACACGTTTTTGGAGGTCCTATAGAACGTTGCCACGTAGCTTCTAGGTAGATAGTATATATAGAGGCAAGAGTGAAGCCTTCTTCACTCTTGTCAACTCCTTTCTTGCTTCTAGTCTAGTTTCAAGGGTCTCTAGTTTTCTTGTCTTTTGGCAATAGCTACTCTAGTTTCTTTCTTAATATACATATTTAGTTATTTCTTTTTTGTCATCTTTCTTTGAAAAAAGTCTCATTTATTTATTTGTTTTTATCAAGTTCTTATCCTTGATAGATAGACAAGAATGCACTTACAAAATCAGATTTTTATCTAATCTTGATTAAGAGTGGATTATCCCTTTCTCTTGATAAGACATAAGCGTATTAGAAGTTGCGGATTACCCTCTTCTAAATTGATATTGTTCTTAGTATTTTCTTTGTTCTCAAGTCCTCTCTTTTATTTTTTTTGAGTAATATTAGACATCTTTTCCTTCCTAAGTGTTATCATGGCAGAACTTGCTGAAATGAAGAGTGCAATGGCACAAATGTAAGAACAATTGAGGGAATTAATACTTGCAATGTATCAACTTAATTTGCCACTACAAGGAATAACAAGATTAGGAGGAAGTGAAGATATAGAAATGATTGGAGCTGCTTCAACATCTGTACCAAATCATGTCCTTTTTCCTATGGTGGAACACTCATCTAGTATTAAAGAACCAAGAATTGCCCTACCCGAGAAATTTGATGGCACTAGATCAAAGTTTAGAGGATTTATCAATCAAGTACAACTTGTGATTGAACTTCAACCTCAAAGCTATTCAACTCCAAGATTGCAAGTCAGATTCATTGGTATGCTTCTTTCAAGTTCAGCATTATCGTAGTTTTCATCTTTTCTTGAATGACAAGATCCAATATTAGATAATCTGGAGGTTTTTTTAGTGGAGTTTTGATCCATGTATGGAAAACATGATGCAATTCATATTGCAACCAACAAGATCTATATGTTGTGACAAGGCAATCGATCAATAATATTGTATGCTTTATAATTTTGACAACTTGCAAGTGATATCAAGTACGATAATGTTGCACTTGCTAGCCAATTTCTCTACAAATTATAATATGAGGTGAAAAAATTAATGCTCAACTTACTTGATCCTCAAACATTGAGTCAAGCAATTGACTTTGCTCTGAAGTGCC